CTGCAATAGCACTTGCCACGCAGACTACAATGATTTACTTACAAATCTGTCTCATGCACTGGATTGGCCTAGCAATCTTTCCTTTCTTTCTTTTTTCTTTTTTTAATGTGACATTGCTAGGCACCAACTAGGTGCTCAGTAAATTCAAATGGAATTTAACTTGGTTCATAGGACTGTCTTAGTTTTTCCAGCTCAGCTAACAGAACTGATTGGTGATAGGAACCAAGTAGAGCCAAAAGGTAATGCATTCATTCTTGCCCTCCTCTGCCCTCCTCCCAAAATACAAGGAGACCTCTTTGGGGATGACCTCTTTGCTGATGTCCTCATAATCATTAAAATCATTAAAAGTATCTTTAATGAGTCAACATGTTTGATAATCACCTGGGATGCTTATGAGAATATTACCAATCCTCTGATTTTGCTTTTCATGCTTCTAATGTCCTGCTTACCTTTCTCCAAGAATCCTTTTTTTAATTGTTTCTCATTACTGTTTTTTTTTTCTGAAATCTTACGTCACTTAAAACTATTCCACACAATTTAGCACTTATTTATAGACTTTCTTTTATCATTCTAATTGTTTTATAAGTGTTATTAATCTCATCTCATTGTTAAATGCTGGGACCTCCTTACAAGTTGGCACCATGTCTTTCCATTCATTCACTCACCCACCTACTCATTGATTGATTGATTGATTGATTTGATAGGTCACTAATTCAATAAATATTTACTTTGTGTTAGCCATTGTAATGGATAGTGTGTAAGATACAGAGATAGGCAACACAGAGTACTCAATTTTAAGGAGACTATACTCTAGCAGCAGAACTCTGGCAGAGTAGTGCCTAGGCACTTGATTGCTAACCAGGAGGCTGGAAGTTCAAACTCACCATCCATGCCTTGGAAGGAAGATGGGGCAATCCACTTCCCTAGTGATATTGCCTCGGAAACCCAAGGAGGGGTCGCTATGAGTTGGATCTGACTCGATGGCACATAACAACAACAAAAATAACATACTCTAGTAGAAGTCAAAAGCCATAGCAAATGTCAAAAGCCACATGAATAGTAACTATTGTACCAAGGAGTGCATGGAACTTGCTATTAAAATAGTCTGATAAAAAACACAACAGCAGTTCAGAAGAAGGTGTCATCACTCTGTCCATGAGCGATAAGATATAGTTACATAAAGGAATAGCATTTTAGTTTAGCTTTAGGGATCTGGCAGAATTTCTACACGCAGAGTGCAAAGATATAAGGATGGGCATTTCAAGTGGAGGGTATAACATGAAAAAGGAAAAACAAAAGTATAAGTTATGTTCATGGAAAGAAAAAATAGCCCTTTTCAGCTGGAATATGGCATGAGGGAAGAGGTGGTAGCAAATAGGGAGAGGGAGATAAGTTCAAAGGCATGAGCTTAGCTTATTCCACTCACTCCCTATTGGGTTCCTGGTATCCATCCCATATTCCAGTGCCCTTCCAATGTGTAATATAGGACAGAGCATAAGAAAGTGCTACCTACAGTATCTGTTTTCTTGGAATGAATCCCCAAATCTAGCTTTTGACTTGTACAGTTACCAAATGGGAACAGTGTTTGCAAGGATGAGTCATGGTTAAAGTTGGAATATTAGTTTGCTTGTGAAACCTTATTTGTAGCCCAGGGTAAAGGTATTTCCCATACCATGCATCCGATTGGAATCTTGGAATCCGTTGACATCCTCTGAGAGCAGTCGGGAATCCAACATAGCAGCTGCTTGATTGATATTACTGTACCAGCTCTTGTTCTCATCCAATACAGTGAAGAGTAGAAAGAATTCCTTATCTATCCCTTTCTGCAGGCCCAGTGGAGGATATCACAGGAAGGAATGACAATAGTTTCAGCAATTATGGACTATGAAGTTGCACACCGAAGTGACCCTGATTCTTTTCAATTTCCTTTTCTAGTTTCAAAGTTGAGTCCATACCTCCTGCCCAGAACTATAACTGTTGCTCCTCAGTTAATCTCAAATTGAAAGTGGGTGAAGGATGTCAGAATAAAGGAACAATATGAACAAAGTGGAATACTAGAGTGAGAGAATGTAGGAAAGGGGACAAGGAAGAAGCACAATATGAGGAATAAAGAGAAGAGGTAGAGTACAATAGGAGAGGATCTAGAGTCATCTGGGAAAAGGAGTAGGGGAAGGTAGCTAGGATATCAGGGAAGGGTTCTGAGGGAAATTAGAAAACAAGGGGAAAGTAATTATTATGATAGCTGTTGAAGTTGTATTTATTATTTATTATGTTCCAGACAGTATGCTAAGCACTTTATATGGATTATTTAAGTAATCTTCACAGAAGCCTGAGATACCTCTTCCATTGTTAATCTCTTTTTACAGATGGGAAAACTTAAAAAAAAATAAGTTAAATAACTTGCTCAAAATTACGGATAATAATAGTGAGCTAGATATGAAGAATACAAGCAAACATCTAGGTAGACTTATTGATTTAGGGACAAGACTAGGAACCATTGAGGTGAGGGGGAAAATGGATGTGATGGGCAGACTAAAGTGGAAAATAGAACAAGATAGTGCCTGTGATAGTTAAGAATATGTGTCAACTTGGCTAGGCCTGGTATTGAGTGGCTCAGCAGCTGGAAGTAGTTAACTCCCCATGATAAAATCGGTAATTAACTCCATGATGAAATCTACTGGAGCAGCTGCCTTAGGGATGTAGTCTGCTTCCAGTATGTAAGAAGACAGCTTTGGGAAAGGTCTCTGAGGTTTTTGGCATGCTTGGATCATGCACATAGCCGAGTGGTCATTCAGCAGCCTGCCATGTTGTCGTCTGATCTTGAGACTGTAAATGGACTTGAATCAGTGGCCTGCCACGTGGTTTGATAATTTTGGGACTGTGCCATTTTGCTTGTTGATCTTGGTTTGCCAACCTCAATAGTTACCAGCTGGGTGAGTGAAGAGACGCCTCCAGCTCCAGTGGCCTAGGAGTAGGAGGCAGAGCTCAAGCCCAAGATCAAGGAGATTTCACCCAGAAATAGCACTTTAAACTTGGACTTCTAGCCTCAAAAACTGTAAGAGAATAAACTCCTATTTGTTAAAGTCACCCATTTGCAGTATTTGCTGTTAGAGCACCACAAATTAACCTAAATAGTGTCCTACTGTTGTTGTTGTTGTTATGTGCCATCGAGTCGGC